TCCGGGTCCTGTCCAAAGTATAAACCCGTCTTTTCCCCAGGTCCCCTCCCCTCTGCTCCCTTTGGCGATAATAATGCCATTCCAATTGAAACCTCCAGGTTCTGCCCATTGCTGACCTAACTCTGCACGACAGAGTCCTGGCCTATGTCTCTAATCTAGTCCGCCCTTGCCAGCCTTAAATTTGACCCTATTAAAATAAATCTTCCTTCTACTCCAAACCCAGCCTCCAGTTGTCTAAACCCCTGGCTGGCCATGTAGGCGTAGGCCGGCATAGTCACCCTGCCACATACCTCCCCTGGACCTAACTAGTCCCTCCCTGAGCCGGTCTAGACCACCCCTCTCCACAACACACCCTCTGCTATTTAAATGTGTTAAACTCCTTTGTAAGATTGCAAGCTCCGCCTTCGTTAATCTAATCTCCACAGGAGTGTGTGTGTTGGGGTGGGGGTGGGGATAGTCTAAACCCTGTAACGCATTGGTCTAAACTAACCTGGGCAAGCCTCACTTTCATTGGCCTGAACTACATCGCTGTGTGGAAGAAGGGAGTCTTTTCTGCATTCTACCCCTCTTTCCAGCCTTAATCCTACCCTTAAGGAGCGGGTCTGAGCTCTGCTCCTTAAGACCCAGTATCCTGGTGTCTGCTACCCTAGGCCAGTTTTATTTAGGGCTGGGGAAGTCTTTATTTTGAGATTTCTCGCAGAGCCTAGGCGGGCCTCAAACTCTTCGTGTAGCCAGGGATGACCCTGAACTTGTGATTCTCCAGGATTTCACACATCGATGTTATACGAGGCTAGGGATGGGACTCAGGACTATGTGCACTCTATTGGCCCGGTCATATGCACAACCGGAAGCCCTAGTTCTTCCGGTAACCAACTCCACATTCTGGCCTTGGTCTAGCTTCTTGCGGCACCTCTCTCCTTTTGAATTTTTCCAGAAAATGGCTTTCCTACTCAAACAGGCCAAGCCTAGTTCATCGCACCTTTGGTTTCATTTCCCTGGGCCTAGAACAGTGGTTTCTCAACCTTCCGAATGCTGAGACCCTTTAATACAGTTCCTCACCTTGTGGTGATCCCCAGCCCTAAGATTATTTTTGTTGCTACCTCATAACTGTAATTTTGCTACTGTTAAGAAATGGAATGCAGGATCTCTGATATGCGACCCCTGGGAAAGCATCCTTCAACCTCTGAACCGGTCACGACCCACAGGTTGAGAGCCACTGGCCTGGAGGGTATTTTTAGCCCCGCCCCTTAGGACCAGCCCCTTTTTAGGATCCACCCAGGTCAATTTCTTTCTCTTTAGGCCCTGCCTTCCTAAGCCAGTCCCACCTCCCTATCCTTAGACTCCCAAGTGTTTCAGGTCCCCCTCCTCCATCCCAGACGCCTCCCATAATTCTCTAGGACAGCTAGGGAAACTCTTGCCTCCTACTTTACCCACAAGACACCAAACTCAACCTAGCCCTACCTTACCCAGCGGGAGGTGGTGCGGTATGGGCGGAAGCTAGGAAAACTCCGGTCCCCAGGGGGCGCTTGGGGAAGGCTGGCATTGTAGT